TGATTTTTATTAGAATAAACAGATTTAGCACAAGCCAATAAGAATGATCAATGATTAAAAAAATAGAAACATTGAAAAAAAATGCCAAAATCAAACATAGAGACAAAGTTCCCAAAGATAATCCATAATCCTTCCATGATGCCTTTGAGAACAAAACCGAACACCAAAACACTTGTCAATCTCAATCACTGGATAGCAAGATCATAAGATCAAACCAGACATCCAATGGGAAAACCGAGATTAAATCAAATCACCAACTCGTGCCAAGCCTTCCCTATCTTCTACATGCATATTGTATTACTTGTACTGATATATTCTTAATTCCTAGGGAAAAAGTATAATCAGCAAAGAAATCAAAGGAAAACTGGTGAATGGGACCAGTTACTTTTATGATGGGTGAGTGATATGTAAGTATGTTGTATGCAACAGAACAAAGAGTTAATCATCAGGGCAGGATGTTGGAGGCCCTGTGCAAATTCTTAAAAAGATGCCCTTGCTATTTCGGATCCCTTGCAAATTCCTTATTAAAAATGTAAAGTTTGAATGCAGTATATATAGGGAGATTGGTGATATTACTAACTCAAATCCTAACTATGTGGGATAGGGAGATCATGAAGATGAACTCAATTCTCGTAAAGTGGAGTTAAACAGAAAAAAGAGATTTTTATTATAATAAATCTAATTTTTTTGAGGCCCTCTTCGATCGCTCATGTTGTACACCCTATAGCCCCGCCCCTGTTAATCATTTGACAAAATTATTCGAGCTGAAGTTCTCTTACATGTTATTACAACATGTATTGTATATTCAGACTGTGCAGCTCGGGGAACTGGAAACAAAGAGTAGCTACTGGGAGAATAATCCTATGCTTTTACACTCCAGGACTAGTGTACGAAATAGCACAAGCAGCTGTCAAAAGAGCAAACGGATTGGATTTGATATTTGCAGAACCCTTTAATATACGATTTTAACTAACTTTTTTTGGATTTGCCAAAATGACCAATAAAATCGCAACGCGATATCAAAATCGCAACGCGAGCTTCCAAGTTCGCAACGCGATTTAGAAGAGAATCGCAACGCGATTTAGAGTATCCGCGCGGACGTGTCAAAGACACGTATTACCACGACCACGACCCGAGACGAGACGGCGGCGGCGGCGGCGCGCGAGAGTCCCCCTTGTCCTCTTTCACTCAACAAGGAAGTGCAAAATACAAGCCTTAAATACCATTCCCAATAGTATTTCCAATACTATGTGGGATTGAGCATTACCAACACTTGTTCCAAATATCATTATTCTTCATAAGTTATCATCCATTACAATATGAATTAGTCGTGTTAATGAACCAATATACCTCATTAATATATGGTATTGTTGAACAAAAGAATGATGATGATGATCTTATTAAAGACCATCTAATACGAAAGAATCCAATGCATAACCGATACCTTATTGTGAAACTAATTCACATAGAGGTTGTACGTGAAAAAAAAATCTTTTACTTTTATAGTAAATATCTATCTCAATAATTTTAATATAAAAAATATATTTTTTATTTAATAATAGAATTATTTCATGTATTTATCAAGTTATAATTTTAAATACTTATTAAAATGAATTAATTTATTATCGATAATTCATATTGTAATGGATGATAACTTATGAAGAATAATGATATTGGGAACAAGTGTTGGTAATGCTCAATCCCACATAGTATTGGAAACACTATTGGGAATTATATTTAAGGCTTGTATTTTGCATTTCCTTGTTGAGTGAAAGAGAACAAGGGGGACTCTCGCGCGCCGCCGCCGCCGTCGTCTCGTCTCGGGTCGGGTCGTGGTCGTGGTCGTGGTCGTGGTCGTGGTCGTGGTAATGGTAGTGGTAGTGGTAGTGGTAGTGGTAGTGGTAGTGGTAGTGGTAGTGGTAGTGGTAGTGGTAGTGGTAGTGGTAGTGGTAGTGGTAGTGGTAGTGGTAGTGGTAGTGGTAGTGGTAGTGGTAGTGGTAGTGGTAGTGGTAGTGGTAGTGGTAGTGGTAGTGGTAGTGGTAGTGGTAGTGGTAGTGGTAGTGGTAATACGTGTCTTCGACACGTCCGCGCGGATACTATCTTTTTAGAGAAACAAATATTTTTTTATTTTCAACGTTGCGATTTTATAAATCGCGTTGCGATTCTCTCAGTCGCGTTGCGAACTTGGAAGCTCGCGTTGCGATTTTCTTTTGACCGTTGCGATTTTCTTTTTAACGTTGCGATTTTCTAAATCGCGTTGCGATTTTATTGGTCATTTTGGCAAATCCAAAAAAAGTTAGTTAAAATCGTATATTATAAGGTATTTTTGATCACTGAGGCGATTTTCTCAATAAAAAAACTATCTAGCGGAATCCCCTAAGTAACAGATTCATCTCAACCAAAAAACAGATATTATATGCATCTTTATTCTCCCTTTTTTTATTCTCCGGTAGATCAACGGCCGGTTCAACGCCTTTCGAGATGGGTGCAGGCCAAATAAATCCACTAAAAGCACTTGATCCAGGACTTATTTACGACATGAACACAAGTGATTACATTCCCTTCCTCTGCAACATGGGATACACCGAAAAACGAATAAACATGATCGTTCTCCCCTCTCCGGAACGTGCACGAAACAAACGCCAATCTTAATTATCCATCCATCAGCATCCCAAATCTCCAATCCCCCATCACCATCAAAAGGACCGTGAGAATCGTGGGAGGGCGGAAGACGGCGGTTTATTTCGGTGTGGTGGCCAAGGAGCCCGATGGAGTGGAAGTGATGATTTGGCCAAGGTTGTTGATCTTCTCGCATTCGAAGCGGGAAATGTCTTATTACATCACGTTGAAGCCACTGAAGAAGTCTGAAGGAAGATACGATTTCGGTGAAATAGTTTGGTCGGATGGTTTCCATTATGTTAGAAGTCCGGTGGTCGTCCTCGTCAATAACTCCGGGAATGATTTCACAGTTCGGTCTGCCATTTAACATCTCTGTCATTTGATTTGAACATATGGCTCTGTTTCTTCATTAATAAAAATTCTATGAGCCAGTGGGAATAAGGCTTTGTTTTTCCTCTGGTTCAGATCCCATGGTATTTGCTTGGTTTGTCGACCAGACAGGCACAATGTCTGAGACACAGGAGGCGAGGGAGACAATACGCTTTTTAGCGCATCGAAATCTGTATGGAGAACCGATAAAGCATTTATTTTTCTCCTCTCCTTTCTCTAAGAAGTTTCGCATATATGTTCTGCGTTTAATTATGAATTTCGTCCCTACATTTTATGAAAGTTAAATGTCTCATCCAAGGAGATTATCTTGCATCAATTTAACACATCATGGTTAATTCAGTCAAATCCATTATTAAAAAACATATTTTAATAATTATAAAAAATATTTTTCCTTATTTTTCATGTCATTTTCATTAAAAGAAAGTAGTGCTACTTATTGATCTTTTCTGATTTTAGTTTATTTATTTTGAGAAGGAAGATATAAAATTAATTTAATAAAAAATGCATTCATTTATTAATAAAATAAGATATTATAAATTCCAAAACAAAAATTAGGTGAATTTTACGAGTGTAACTTATCGAGTAATAAAATCTTGCATTACAAATTTACAATACATTAGATAATATAATGCAATATATTAAATTATACTAAATAATATTATATTTTAATTTTTTAATAATCATAATATCAGATATAATTTTATATTTGATGAACTAAACACTCATTAATATTTAATAGTATCATCTAGTTAGACCATGATATTTATTTTTATAAATATGAAATCGAACTTAGGACTAAATTGTTATTTTCGTAAAATTGAAGAATGAAATCAGAGTTAGGCCTAATCAGCGACCTTGGCCTTTTGGCGTCTGGAAACTCCATTTGTCCGTATTTTCATGGGTCAAATAACAATAACCTCGAAACACTGCAAAAGCCCAAATCTGTGTCCCAATGTCCATGGTCAATTCAAAATCAAATTGAGTTTACAAAACAATAGGGTAAACTATGTGAAAGATTCCTAAACTTTTAAGGAACTTACATTTTTATTATTTAACTTTTGAAACTTGTAATACGATCATAAAATTTTTTAATTTATTTTTATTAAAATCATTTCCGTCAAGTTGTCATTAAGAAAAAGTAACGTAGCAAGTTAAAGTCTTATTCTTATTCAAAACATCTTAAGTTTCTATTTTATAAAAAAGATTAATGAATTATTCGATTTATTCTTTTCTCTTTTTTTCAATTCAAATTCAAAAAAAAATACTAATTTCTTTAAATTACAATAGAAGGTATTTTTTATATGTCACTATTAATCATTGGATTAACTTGAAATCAAACTATAGTAGTATTGTTACTAAATGAAGTCTTCTCACTATTAAAATTGAGCAACTATCGTTGTGTTCATCAGAAACTCGTTAAGATCGAGATGAGTTTTTTTTAAATATATTTATTTATTTCTATTGTTTGTTACTACTGATGGTTATGGTTATGGATGGTGATCGAATGAGATTGATGTTATTTCGAGATTTGGATGAAATGACGATAATGAATGGTTCGACGATCATAGAAAATTGATAAAGTTCTTGAATATGGTGGATGGCATATTTAATGATGACAATGATCGAAAGAACGAAGAATAATGATAGGGTAAAAAAAAGATGATGACTGACAATTTTTAAAAATAATTTAGGATTTTTTTTGAAAAAAAAATTAATATATCACATCAATTTTTTAACGATAGTTGACGATAGTAATAGTATTAAAAATGGATTAAAAGTTTAGTAATTGAATTATAAGTTTTAACAGATATGTGATCAAAATACAAGCACCCTAAAAGTTTAGGGGCCTTTCATAGTTTACTCTAAAAATATAATTATTAAATAGCGAGTTTCACAATTTTGACTGTGAAAGGAACATGTTCCTGCCTGCCTTCCCATTAAGCACCGATTTCCGTCTTGCTCGTGAAGCAACCAAAAAGCCAATTTCTTTTCTTTAATTTATTAATTATATAATTTTTTATTCATTTTTCTCACTAAATTAATGCTCAAACAAAGTCATCTCTTCTCATAACACGCATCGGTCTTCTGGGTCTCATCTAAATTTTCAACCTTTACTCTGTTGAACGACGAAAAAAAGATATTTTTTCATCTGAAAGAAGAAAATGGAAATGAATAACAATCACGGAGGAGTTTCTTTTGAAACGGAGAAGAAACCCAAGACGAAGATCGTATGCACGTTGGGTCCTGCATCGAGGTCGGTCCCCATGATCGAGAAGCTGCTGAGGGCCGGCATGAACGTCGCCCGTTTCAACTTCTCCCATGGATCTCACGAATACCACCAGGAAACCCTCGATAATCTCAGGGCCGGCATGCTCAACACTGGTATTCTCTGCGCCGTCATGCTCGACACCAAGGCTCGTGTTTCTTTAAACCCTTTTCTTTTAACCTAAAGTCAAAGCCTTTGCTTGCGTTAACTTCTTTTAGTTTTAATCCATCTCTCTTGTCTGCTTGTTTTCTTGGATCCGGTTGCTTGTTTCTTTTTCTTACTTGCCTCTGTATGATCATAGATCTACGTTTACATCTCCATGCTTCAAGAGTTTGCTTAGAAACAATCAAAGTGTTTGATGACATGCTTCAATGACATATTCATGACGATTTTTAATGAGATCTATATTGAAAACTTAGAAAAATCTAACCACGCTCGGAATCCGACACTTGTCCGTATATGAAGAGGTCTGGCTGATTAATTGTAGCTGATTCTTTATATGTAAACTTTCAGGGTCCTGAGATCCGCACTGGGTTTCTAAAGGATGGGAAAATTCAGCTCAAACAGGGTCAAGAAATCACCATTACCACCGATTATACCATAAAGGGCGATGAGAAACTGATAAGTATGAGTTACAAGAAGTTGGCCGAGGATGTCAAACCAGGGATGGTCATACTTTGTGCGGATGGTACAATCTCGTTTACCGTCTTATCTTGCGACAAAGTAAAGGGTCTGGTTCACTGTCGCTGCGAAAATTCTGCAATGCTTGGTGAGAGGAAGAACGTTAATCTTCCAGGGGTTGTTGTTGACCTTCCTACCTTGACTGAAAAGGACAAGGAAGATATCTTGCAATGGGGTGTTCCGAACCAAATTGATATGATTGCTCTTTCTTTCGTCCGAAAAGGGTCGGACCTTGTAGAGGTCCGCAAGCTGCTTGGGAAGCATGCTAAGAATATTCTTCTCATGTCGAAGGTATGCTTGAAGTATTTCAGATATGACTTGTCCGTATATAATTTCTTGGGGAGGAAGATTTATGTAATACATACATCTAATTTAGGCAGGGTTAATATTTTATGATGCCGTTGTGATGGTTGTTTTTTCCCCTTTGAAACGATGTTGCAGGTCGAAAATCAAGAAGGGGTAGCAAATTTTGATGACATCCTTGCAAATTCAGATGCATTTATGGTGGCACGAGGCGATCTTGGAATGGAGATTCCGATTGAAAAGATATTTCTAGCACAGAAAGTGATGGTTTATAAGTGTAACATCCAAGGAAAACCTGTTGTCACTGCAACACAAATGCTTGAGTCCATGATAAAGTCTCCTCGGCCAACCAGGGCTGAGGCCACTGATGTTGCCAATGCAGTTCTCGATGGCACAGACTGCGTGATGTTAAGTGGTGAAACTGCTGCTGGAGCTTACCCGGAACTTGCCGTTGGGACCATGGCCAAAATATGCGTAGAAGCAGAAAGCACTCTTGACTATGGAGATGTCTTCAAAAGGATTATGGAACACTCACCTGTTCCGATGAGCCCGTTAGAAAGCCTGGCTTCTTCAGCTGTTAGAACCGCAAATTCAGCAAAAGCAGCTCTTATATTGGTCCTAACAAGGGGAGGAAGTACCGCAAAGCTGGTGGCAAAGTACAGACCCGGAATGCCCATTTTATCCGTGGCAGTCCCCGAGATCATGACTGATTCGTTCGATTGGTCATGCAGCAATGAAGCTCCAGCAAGGCACAGCTTGGTCTATCGTGGTTTGATCCCGGTTTTATATGCTGGATCTGCCAGAGCTTCTCATGAGGAGACAACTGAGGAAGCTTTGGAGTTTGCCGTGCAGCATGCCAAGGCAAAGGGACTCTGCCGCACAGGGGATTCGATCGTTGCTCTGCATCGTATCGGAACTGCATCCGTGATCAAGATCTTGACCGCAAAGTGAGTGCGTTCGCCTCGTGATATCCGGTTAAGCATTTCTAATGTCATTTTTTGAAGGTTCCCTGGTACAAGGGGTTACCACACTGCCATTCTTATGCTTCATCGTTTTTGTTGTTTTAATTTTGAATGCAAAAGTTGGTGATTAAGTTCACAGGTACAATGATATGATGATATATTTGGGACCTAAAAACACTGAATGTTGTTCTTTTTTGACGAAATTATTAAGGACAGGTCTGATTTTGGTTCCACCAATTTATAATCTTCAGAATCATACAAGGTTTAGAAATATTAATTAGAAATATTAATTATATTTCTTTTAAATGTAAATGTGAATTATGTCATGAATTGGTTTTTGTTTTGTGCTTTTACAACTAACATATTGATTCATTTAATAGGGAGGGATTAATTTGAATCGATCTTAGATATTATTTTTTTTAATAAAAGCCGTTAGTTTTATTAAGATAATACCATCAACCATGTCGGACATCATAGCGCAACTAATAACCGTTAGATAAGACGAAAATGATCGTAGCCGTCCATTGTCTTTACCAGCGAGGGAAGAATCTGAAAGTCCATTAATTAATTAATTAATTACATCTCTTCCCCTAAAAAATCGCCTCATCATGTTGACAAATTAGTCCATAATATTAAAAGGGTAAACTCCTTAATCACTCTCGTTTTAGTTTTACAAAAAAATTTATTTTATTAAATTTAAAAAATATAATATTTGGTCTTTTTTTTTTATTTAATTAAGATATAATTATTTTTATTAAAATTTCTTCATTTACATGATATATCTTAATTAAATAAAAACGAAATGATGAAATATTATATTTTTTAAATTATACGAAAAATGTATTGAAAGTATCAGTCAAAGGTCACCCTTTCCCATCCCAAACTGTTATCTGAAAACTTAGATTATGTGTAGAGAGACGAGATTACATAATATTTCAGAATTCATAATATCCTCCAAGGCTCAAGAATCTCCAAGAATACAGAAATTCAACTCATTTTTTTGCAAGATTGAAGCAACTATTGTACATACAAGGCAAGGCAGAATAGAATATTGAACAACAAACAAGACGCTAATACCATATAGACTCAATTCTCGTCTGTTTGAGAAGTATTCCCAGACGACGACGAATTCCCTCTGCTGGATTGAGATCCTGATGTGAACAAAACGTTAAACGGCCACGGAAATGAGAATCTTCTCCCGCTTCTCCCGTCCCCCTCACCTTCTTCCTCCGCACTCCCATACCCATGAACATCACTTTCACTTTCTCTTTGGTTCCTACTACTCCTCGGCCTATCGGAGTCAGGTTTGGATTCATCGGAGGGAATTTGATATCTGCAAACTGGACACGAACTATGAAGCTCCAGCCATGGCAATATACACCCACTATGGAACTTATGCTTACATGGCATTTCCTTTGCTTCACTACCAACCTCAAAATCATCTAAGCACATGAACACTGCACATTCTCCTCGATTGCCTCTTTCTGTGCCGGAGGAGTTCCGTATCTGTTGGGGTCGATTTCCGCCAAATGCTGCAACAATAAATCTAAGCCAGGCCACTGAAATAATCTCCTATAGACCCTATATGATTGGAGTTTTGGTTTTGACCACCATGGACGATGAAAGTTTGATTGAAAGGATTGATCAAAATTACACGCTCTCGTTGCCTATCTCGAATCCTATCCCTATCATTATAAGAATTATCGGTTTCTGATGTCATTCCGACACTCATACTTCGAAACAACTGCAAAATCGCCGCAGAGTTTCTTCTTCTACTCCTCGTGATGGATTCTAGTTCCCGGTCCAAGTCTGAATCACCTCCATGGCGAGCTTTGCCATCAGAATTCTCTTCATCAAACTCGAAACGTCTAAGTCTTCTGCGGCGACGTGGATTACCCATCATACCTAACAAGATGGGTGCCCACAGAGAGCGCGCTCGATCGGATTGGAAATCGGAATCCATGCCTTCAGCACCGTCTCTTGTACCACTGCTCATTTCTTCTACAAAACCGCCTTGACATAACGAGCATTAATCTCGACTTCCATGATCGGAGTAACCACTTGAGAGCACTGATGGCACCAGTAAGTTGCGGCCATTGCTTCCTCCATTATCCCCCACGCCTTTCCTCAGCACAGATCCTTTTTCCTCTTTTAACTATCTCTCCAAGGTTCTATCACAACAAGAGCCAGTTACAGTAAGGTAAAATGGAAAGCAAATCTGCCATCAAAGATCAAACTTTATTTTTTGGGAATGATTTAGCAGATCTAAATAAACAATTTCCATACAAAAGAAAAGAATCCCAAACTAAAATATCCCAGAATTCAAAGTCTTCCCAAAGAAAACTAGATGTCAACAGTAAACAATTTCTCAAAGATTACTTCTTTTTCTTAGCAAAATCAAACAACAGAGTAGAAGGATCTGCGACTCTGGAAGCATCAGGTTTCAAATTCCAATCCAAAACATGAATTTCTTCCAATAATTATGAAAAAGAAACAAATCAGTGCAATAATTAAAATAAGAAAAGAAAAGATTTCTGATACAAAAACATACAAAAGAGAAGTTTTTGACCTTTTTGACGTTGAATTGCAGCAAAACAGCAAAGAAACTAAAGTAGAAGAAGCAAGTGCAAGAATAAATGTTGGGGGTTTTGATGTGTCCAAAGCAGATTTTTTTTTACCCAATTACCCTTTTGCTTAATCAATTAGTATTTGTCTAACAAATCTTGAGTGGATATTTGGTTTATTGAATATAGAAGTATTTTTAGAATTATGATTACCATAATAATATCATTAAGTTTATTATATTATTTTTAATTTATTTGATTAAAAATATATATTTATTTGGTGAAATGTATGGGTAGGTTCTAATTATGATATTTATTTTAAAGATAAAATGTCTTTTTATTTAATTTGAAACGTATTTTACTAAATTATAATATCTTTTTAATGGGTTAAAGTTCCAACATTAAATTCAAAGAAATATTAATATGGAAAGTTCATAAACAATTACATATAATTAATATAATGAGAAAATAAAGATGAACAGAGCAAATGTTTTTGTTTCCTAAATAATAATGTCGACTACTGATAATCGTATATACCACTAGAAGCTATATTGTCAAACCAAATATATTAATCTTATTTGAAATCTTACAATATCAAATTTTGTCCTACATTGCTCGAATCAAATAAAGTTAAAAAAAAAGCCCGCAAATCCATCATATGGCATCTAAAATCTCAATGTTAATATCCCAAGCAATAAATCAATGCAAAGCATGTTCAAGAGCTGTTACCATGCCTATGTAACAATGGCTAACTATAAATGTACAAATCTCAAAATCCCTCAGTTTATTTCTTACAAGATAACTGCTGCAGAGCCTACATCCTGGTAAAAAAGAATGACGGAGCAGGAAGTTTGACAATTCCAACTCCCACCAATGTATAGTGCCGGAAAATTTTAAGTAGCTTCAAAACTAAAATCGGTAATACTAAGCTGATTTTTTTTACAGAAGTGGCTGAATTCAAAGAGTTGGGCACTTTTGCAGCACTCTCCACCTGCAATTGTTGAGTTTGGGTTAAAAGGCACCAAACAAAGTGATGGACTGACAGCAAGGAAACTATTGAAACCAATAATTAGTTGCGCAAACCTGTATCACATATTGTTGTGCAATGTTCAACAATTTAAAATAAAAAGAACCAAATTAATGTATTATGCTTAGCATAAAAAGATTAATTGATGAACTATGCCATGAACCACTAAATTAAAAAGCTTACAGATCCAAGTAGATGAAGCGGAGCATTCAGGATCATCAAAGCAATAGACAACAAATTTAACTAAACATTAGAGAAGTAGATACTGCAAATTGTATTGACAAATCCATGCGGAAAAAGACAAGAAAAGCAGCAAAAGTATGAACTTATAAGAACTAGTTTTTTTAACAGTTAATTAACTTCGTTCGCTCCTGATAATTCAATTCCTTTTCAATCTTCATTAGGAATGAAGAAATATTTGACAGGTTCTAAGCATTTGATTCTTATTTATTTGGTTTCTATTGGGATAGAAATATACAAATTAAGGCATTATGGGATTTTGTTTCTTCAGTTTAGTATTGTATCTCATGAATGTAATAGTAAACAATTTAGACATTTATATTCTTTCTGAACTTTTAAAATAATTACTGTTTTGCTTATTGTCAAGCAATAGTCTTTATGCTTCTGTTTTTTTATACTGTATGTATTGATATTTAGGGTTAATCTTATAACTACTATGTAGTTTTAGTTTAAATAGCTTAGGCTTAACATCATTTACAAAGGTGCAAAGCGGAAAGCATCTACTTTGAGAAAGTTAAGTATTTGGATATTCGTTTTCTCCCTATTATATTTTATAAGCTTAATCGCAATTTTCGGTTTGGTTTGGGCTTTTAGAATCTTAGGGTACTTTATACTAGTCACATTGTGCTAAGCTTTCAAACATTAGGCTTTAGGTTATATAAGGGTTTAGGCCTTTAGCTCATAAGTACCTATTAAGGTATGAAGAACTCTTTCCCTCAATCAACATTTTCATCCAAGAACCCAAGAAAGAAAGAAAAAACCCTGGAAAGCTTATTCACCTAGCTATTATAACAAAAAGGAAACAGGCAAAAATTTATTCTTTCTGCTATGGTATGATGTAATTTATGATGACCCATAATGTTTAGAATGATGATTTCTTCAAACAAGCTGGTGCAAGTTCAGAACAGAGAGAAAGTATAAGGATTAGGAACTGCATGAATAAACAAGACTAAGAGGATAAAAGGAACCAATTGTTTAGAGGAATGGTGAAGCACATTCCATCTTATTACCAAACTTTATGCTGATGGTAGTTAGAAGAAAATCTAGTCAGATTGATATTAATACTCAAAAGTCGATATTTTTATAAAATGGCAGGAACAAGTGAATTCTTATCGGAAATTCACCAGAATCTTTAATATTTCTGTTACATTGTTTTGGTTAATAAAATGTAATTACGTTTTGCAAATCAAGAGAGGTAATATCAAGAGCATTCAACATTCAAACCAAATAAGCAGAAAGCCTTTAACAAATAGCGTGCTAATCTTCAAACTTAGAACACTACCTCGACAAGAAAAGACGTAAGTATTCCTTGCAGAAAAAGATTGCATGACAACTTCAAACAAT